GAAAGTTCTCAAATTAAGCAAAGAGGAAATTTTAGCAAAGAACGGTTGTTTATTCATCTTAATTTTGGTACAGATGGCAGGGATATGGGAGCTCATTTGCCGGTACTGGAAGTGTCCAGATGGAAAACACCCTAAAACAGGACAACATGTGTTCACAGTCAGATAGCTGAGAACACAGCTTATACACGATGGACGGAAAATGAACATGATACAGCAAAGAATTTTGAGTTCTTAATCCTCCTTAGGCTGATGGGTTTTTAAACACTTCTTTCTTCCCACTTGCTTTTTCTTTTCTTTCCCACTTCCACCTGTGCTTTTATTTCCCCTTTCTGTAACCATCTGTGCAACTTCTCTTCATCAATTTCTGATCCTGAAGAATATAATTCAGAATGTTTATTAGAGTGACCAGCTTAATTTTTATGCCACTCCATTTTCCTCACCCATGGTTATGGTATTCACTGCAGAAGTTCAGCATAATTCCCAATTCTGACTAGGTATCTTCAATTTGGTATTTTTTCCATCCGTAGTTGCTTTAAACCAATGCAAAATCCTCTAAATTGGCTTGAAGCAAACAAACTGAAAATGAACGTGAAGTGACCAGGGAGTATTTTGATTCAAAGTGAAAATACTGACTCAGGTCACGTTGAACCAAATTAGGAATATCAGTAAAAGGTTTTAAACAGTTTGACCAAACTCAGTTTAGTGTTTTACCTGAAGTTAGTGGTGCAATTTTGAATTTAGACAAGACCTTAGGTGGTCTAATGACAGTAAAACTTCAACGCAAGATCTCCAAAGTTTTGCTGTAAACTGTGCATAACATTCCTTGTATTTCTGAATATTAAAACCAAAACATAACACAAACACCTGTGATTTATTCTTAACATACAAGGGAAGAGTATAGACTTCTGCTTTCATGTGACCTTAAAAAGCTATTCTATATATTGTTTCCCATTCCTGATTTGCCAGAACAAAGGTTAGGACTCTTGTTTTAGACACAGTTAAAGGGGTTAAATTAAAAAAGCTGCATGCTGAAGTGTAACTGGACAGACAGCAGTTACCTTCTGCTGTGGATATGGAGCTCACTCTGTGGGTACTCTGCCTTTAGGTATAGCAAACCGCAAGCACGGTGCCTTGTTAGATCTGAACCAGAGGGTAACACCCTTGTCAGCTCATCAGTAATTCTAATAAATGAAATGCTGTTGTCTCACTTTCAGTGGGGTTTGCTTTACTCTTTGGAAGACCTTAAAGATCTTTGCCAGTAGCATTAGATGGGAATAGAGCCCTGAGCTTCTGAACTGTGACTGCTAGTTCTTGGCTAGAATCACACACTCAGAAGTCTAGGAAAGTAAGTCATTGGTTTTATTATTCTGATCAGTTAACAGGTATTTTCCAATTGTACTCTACTACCTAAGCCCTGTCCCTACTTACTTTTCTTGGTTTGATTCACAAAAATCATATTTAAAGTTTTTTAGTTGTATTTAGTCATATCTATCCCAGCAATTTTTGTCTCCAGCTCCACTCTGCACATGCTTTGGTCTTTCCAACAGCCTCTTGGTCTCCCTAACCTCTGTTGTGTGGAGCTTTTCGTTTCTTTGGGCAAAGACACCTCAGTTCATTTCAGATTTTTTTCCCCTAAAATTCATTAGTGTTCCTAATTTCAGCATGGGAAACTTTTATCTGTAGTATTGCTTTAACTGTCTACTTTAAAGGTAGTACAGAACCTCTGCAGTCTAAGCTCTTTCTAATGCTTAGTAAATAGGAGCCTTTTTTCCTTCCTTCTGTTTATTCTGGCTTTCTCATCTCACCTTTGGTTTTGAGATTCTGATGATTTTATTTTTTTTTAAATGAACCTTTTTTTTAAAAAAGGTTTATTGTGTTGCTAGATATGCAATTTACAGCTTATTTCAAAGCAACGAGGACATATACAGAATACTGTTGAAGATTTGTACAGGAAATCTGAAGAATGGTGAAACTGGCTATTGCCAAGTTATATACACTCACAGTCTAAAATGACTCATTGTGGGAAAGTAATAGCAGGACAATTGCTGAATTTTCAGAAGCAAGCATACTGGGAGTATCCCTTGTGAAACAGGCTGCAACAGCTATAAAAAAAGCTTTGTCTTTATGAACATTCAGTTATTACAAATGTAAAAGGAACTAGATACGAGAAAATACAATTTGTTTTTTTTCCAAGAGTCATACAAAAATTTATGAGTAAGAGCAACATAGTGGAGAACAAATCAGCTGACGGAAAAATTTCTGTGTAATTTACACCGGACCGGCTAATATACCAAGTGGGGAACAGGGAAAGGAGTTGTGTTGAACAATGAGAACTGTATTCACCATTGCCCAAATTAGAAATGTGTGTCTATTTCTTTAGCATTTAAAAACACAATGAACTTTTTATGAGGACATGAACACACACTTTAAGAATACAACTTCTGTTTCATTTTAATAGAATTCCTTCTGTTGTTAATCAGCAAGCATTACACAAACTAATTTTCATTTATGTCAAACTCAATAACACAAGAAACAACACAGGCTAGCTCTACAGTGTTGAAGGGGGGGAAGCTTTTTCTGAAGGTCCTGAAAGAAAAAAACGAAACGAAACAAAAAACCCCTATGTCAAATAGGGACAGATGGGCAAATTAAAACTTGGAGGAAGACAAATCTGTAGGACAGCAGGTAGTCAATCTTTAGGATTTTGGCTTCCAGGCAGCTGAAGCAATAGAACTTTGAATTATTCTCTCTAAATATGATTTAGCAATTTAAGGACACCTTGAAACAGACTGATTAGATTTTGGGAAAAGATATATATTCTGGATTTCCTGATTCAAAGTGGCTTATGAATACAAACATGTTGGAAAAGAAGTCACATGTTAAAAGTTACAGGCACCACTGATTTGATTAGAAAAAAAGACTTGTCTTGTTCTGGTAAATATTTCCTGTGGGGCAGCAGATAATGAAAAACATACCACCTCCCCAAATAAAGGGGTTTTAGTTTGAATCAGACTATTAACAAGACAGATTACTTTGTTCCACCCAGTAATATTTTATCTGTCAGGATAAAGTGCTGCAGTTATGTGTGGTCACAAGGTCCACAGTTCTGAAAAAGTGGTATCGGTCCCATACTGAGGATGTGGTATTCGGAAATTATTTTCAAAGAGTTAGCCAGAACAAAAAAAACCAAACAAACCAAAAACAGACCAGAAAAGGTAGGACAAACAAATCAGTGAGGCTACAAGACTTCCAGTAGTATTATGAAATTTGAATAATTATGTACTATTGGCTACAGTGTCCGATTTCTTAGAAAAGTCTCATTCCACTGTTAGCATCTTCATGGTATTAGTTTTCACAAGTCACTGATAACTATAAAAGCTTTACAGATTCATAGTACCTTTATTGATAAGGTCTTTTGTCCCGCTTTCCCCTCCTGCCTTGTAGTTAAGTGCTGTCTTCACACATACTTGGCTTTGGAAATTGCTTAGTGCTACAGTGTGTTCAAAAACCCACTCAGTTAAGTCTTCTATTTTTAGATCTACAGGTATTTTGCTTTATGTTCTCCTTAGTCTCTTCGCTGGTTCTTTCCCTCCAACTTCTTGTGTTCTCTGCTGATTTCCCAGGTAACTGACAAGAGATTTTCTGATGTTTCTAGTCAGCCAGCTCCTAGTCGTACTTCTGTAATGTTCCACTTCAACAACTATCCCAAACTAAGTTAGATTTCAGGATTTAGTACTGTATTCAGTGCTGCACAAACAATTCTGCATTTTTATAGCCATATTGCATTCACTGACAGTTAATATGGGACAAAAAAAAAAGTTTGAGCTTTGTCTCTTAGCACAAGAAGAATTGTTTATTACTAGGGAAGAATGACACGGGGCACTTTTCAAATCTAACAGGTAGGAAAGCTCTTTTTACATGGTACTTGCACATGTCAAGCTTCTGCATTTGGCAGCTGAAACCCATGTAGGTATGAAAAGGATACAATTATAGAATCACAGAATGGTTTGGGTTGGAAGGGACCTGTCAAAGATCAAAGTCCAACCCCCCTGCCTTGGGGCAGGGACATCTTTCACAATCAGGTTTCTCAGCGCCCCGTCCAACCTGACCTGGAATGTTTCCAGGGATGGGGCATCCACCACCTCTCTGGGCAACCTGTTCCAGTGTTTCACCACCCTCATCGCAAAAAACTTCTTCCTTATATCTAGTCTGAATCTACCCGCCTTTAGTTTAAAGCCATTCCCCCTTGTCCTGTCGCAACAGGCCCTGCTAAAAAGTCTGCTGCCATCTTTTTTATAAGCCCCCTTTAAGTACTGATAGGCTGCAATAAGGTCTCCCCAAAGCCTTCCCTTCTCTAGGCTGAACAACCCCAACTCTCTCAGCCTTTCTTCATAGGAGAGGTGTTCCATCCCCCTGATCATTTTTGTGGCCCTCTTCTGGACCCGCTCCAACAGGTCCGTGTGTTTCTTATGCTGAGGGCTCCAGAGCTGGACACAGTACTCCAGGTGGGGTCTCACCAGAGCAGAGCAGAGGGGCAGAATCACCTCCCTCGACCTGCTGGCCACGCTTCTTTTGATGCGGCCCAGGATACGATTGGCCTTCTGGGCTGCAAGTGTGCATTGCTGGCTCCTGTCCAGCTTTTCATCCACCAGTACCCCCAAGTCCTTCTCGGCAGGGCTGCTCTCAATCCCTTCATCCCCCAGCCTGTAGTGATACCGGGGCTTGCCCCGACCCAGGTGCAGGACCTTGCACTTGGCCTTGTTGAAGCACATGATGTCCTACAGAGGGAGAGGAAATAATGACTGTTGACTTTTTTTTATCTCTATTAAACAGATCTGGATTCAGCAACAGCAAAATGCTTTTGCATGAGCTGTCCCATTTTCAGTTTTGACTTGGTGAAACTTTGACCATTTGCATACTAATGCATTTGGATCTTGATAGTCATTAAATAGAGTCTTCTTAATTGAGAAATTCTGGGAAAGCAAGAATTCAAACAGAAATGGAAGAGTAAATTTTATTGAATGATGAAAAACTAATGGCATTACAGTTAGTTTCAGCTCTGCTGGAATACTATTTTTCTAATTTTTCTGTAGCAGAAAGTGCAACAAATCAATTAATCAGACTTTAACAAACTAGTAATTGTTAATTTCTCTTCAAAAACTGCATAGTTGAGCAGTTGTACAACAAATATATAAATTTCTGCAAAACCCTGAAGAAAGATTTGATGTTTTTTTGCTTTGACTCTGGTGGCAGAGGAGATCATCTGCACTGGTCAGATTCTGAGTGCCTTTTCCCTTTTTTCCCACTCTGTAAGAAAGAATTAAAATGAATGTTTAGTTAATATACTAGACATGACACTTACCTGCAGTTATTTTGTATATTAAAGTAGTATAAGTTAACAAGAAAAAGTGGAGGTAAGTTGCATACTTTTATTAAATTATACAACTATTACAGCATGCAAACTCATCTGACATGAAATATTGTTATATAAATTGAAACGGTCAAGGCGCTTACAGGATACATAACTGAAATGTTAACATCTAGGGATAAAAACATACTGGTTTATTGCTTTTATGGTTGGGTTTTGTTTCTTTGTTTTTAATCCACAGATTTTGGTTACTTTTTTTTGAAAGGCATCCTTAAGTTTCAAAGCAGTATTCCATAAAAAAGTGGGACTCGTTATCAAAGACAACGCCACAAAAAGTCATAATATAAGAAGGGCTGTTCTGGTCAGCCTGCAAGATTACAGGAAAGAATAACAAAAGCAGAAACAACAATCCCTGCAAGGGCACATGAGACAGTTTTCCTAAAAACAAAACACACACACAAAAAAAACCCAATTAAAAAAAAAAGTAAAAACGCCAACCAGCCAAACAAAAAACCCGAGGGTGATGAATTAAGCAAGAAATACAGCAAGATGTGAAAAAATAAAAGCATTATTAGACTGGGGAGGGAAGGGGAAAAAAAGCAACAGAATAGTTGATACTGCAGTTATTACTAAGCATATAACAAAGACTGTTTTTTGTAAATTTTTTACTGTTATTCTTTTAATCCTGTTTATTACAATTAACCACAAGATAAATTTATCATCTTATTTAAAAATTTCTATTTACAGAGAAAAATACTTAACATTAGCAAAGGCATGGATGGGAGGGGAAAACAAACAGAAGGACTGAAGTTGTAAGTCAGAACAGTGATGAGAATGAAACCGAAGTAAATCTCGTCAAATTCAGTCAATTAGTGGTGTGAGCGCTCACACCTTGTCTGTAAGGGACTGAACAGGCATATATATTTGTCAAGTGCTGCAAGACAGTTTTAAGAAGGAACTTGCTCACTTGCGGTAAAGTGACAAGGGGAGAAAGACAACAGAAAAAGACGAGATTACGTACAGAACCCCATGTAATGCTAGCCAAAGAATCTGATGTAATCAGAAAAGATTTGTTGCTTCAGAATGAGTAATTATGGCTTGATGAGCCAGTTTTCACAAAATTATAGTATTCCAACACAAACAGTGTGTTGCAACTTGAAATAGGATAGCTTGCCAAAGACTATATGGCTACCTTAGAAGTTTCCATTATATACTACAGGCTCTCCTTGTAACCTATGCAAAAGGTCACAGTCAAAACAAACAAACAAAAAACCCAACAAAAAACACACAAAAAACCCAAAACGTGTCAAGTCATGTACAAGTACAAATCCTTATTTGCACACTGTCACTCTCTAAAAAAAGTCAGAATGTTAAGCAGCATGCCATTTATGCCAAAATTAACTGAAATTCACTAACGTGAGTTGCATTAGCAGCCAAGTTGAACAAAACAGCATATGCACAGTCAGCAAAACGCTGATCTTGTCACTCATATTTCGACGCAACTTGCTGTGAATATCCTATAAAGATTGGACTAGAGACAGAACTGAGATACAGAACCAAAGGAAGAATGTGGCAAAAAAAGCCATAAAGTCTACAGTTATTCCAGTTACACACAGACTAAAAAATTAAACCAACTTGTTGCTTGACGTGTGTTTAGTGACCAGCATACTTCAAGAAGTTTTAAAGTACAGAACAGGTGGTAGACTTCAACTTGCCAAAACTGTGCTTTAGTTTTTGCTACCATTTTTTCCTCCTACAATATGAACCACTAATTTTCTTTTAACTGGAAAAATCAGAGCTAATAGGTCAGTTCAGAGCACATTACCTCATGATAGTCTCAGCTACATCAAGAACAGGTAAACTTAAAAACACAGAAAATAACTACCTGGTACTTTGTTAATTCTGCCTGCAGTAGTTTCACTTTGGATCTTTCTTGCTCTAATGCAGCATGAAGTATAGTTACCTAAAACATACAGCATATGAATTTATAAAATATCCTTAATATCTATGAGTTTATCAAGTCAATGTTGTTCTCCATTAGTGGTGTGTTGGACAAACAGGTAATACATGCTGAGTTCAAGAGTGACTACCAGTACTGTTGTGCATGAAATGAAAGCAGAAGTAAAGTATTCTTTAACGACTTATTTCCCAAGCAACGTTCACTGGTTTACCTGTATAATGATATAGAAGAGCTATAAAGTAAGAAACTTCCGACTTCTGGGCTCTGCATTAGTTTATTCCCTAAAACACTTAACTGATGTAGTATTATGCAACACAGATAAGCTTATTACATCACCCTCAAAAAATAGTACTGTGTTGTATGTAAGACGTTTGGACAAGTCAAGGGCTTAGAACTAATAGTTGCTGCGGACCAAAAACTAAGCATTGCATGCTCTCCACTACAGTGACTCACCAACTGACATGTCTTAAGTAATTTGTAGCTCACTTGTGTTCGTAAACTTGAGACTAGAAATCAAAAAACCCACCAAACCCAAAACCCCACCAAAACACAAAACCAAAAGCCTCAAACCACCACCCAAGAAAGAAGCATATTCTGAAGCACATTTCTGAGCTTCCTGGCTTGGGTTACCAGAGAATGATATTCCTAAGGTGCTGTTCAGGGCAAAGTCATTTCAGGCATGCTGAGGTCTGCTATCTTTCCAGAAACAGCTCTACGTGAGTCATACTGGAGATTTATATAAAATATGTCCTCTGACACACATAGTGCAGAGCTAAGGATGAAATTTAACATTTTGTGCTTCAAACAAGTTTTTGTTTCAGCTTCCTCCCTCCCCCACCTCTATCACTGCCTTACATAAATAGCATCTTTGAAATACCCATGAAATTCTACATTTAGAAATCCTTGCTTACCTGTACGGTCAATTCATTTTTGATAATTTGAGATTCATCAACCTGTAGGAGTATTTCTGCTTTGTCTTTCACTACAGAGAAAGATACAGCATGAGAATCTTTCTAGATTTACAGGTCTTCATCTGCAATAGCACTGTGACATTGCTTTATTTCACTCTTTTGTTACCGCTACATAATGCCATCTTCACTAAAAGAACAGTACATGTCGTAAATCAAAACCAACCATTAGCTACCACTGCCATTAGCAGCAGCTTGAAAAGTTCTGGAGATTAAATCCCAACCTTGCACTACTTACCCCACATTTAACCCTGTAAGCAGCATGGCTTTTAGAGATACTCATTGTGAACAAAGTCCATCAGAAAACTGAATATTGGCAATGGATCAAGATTTTGGGATCATAAGTTTCACATACGAGCTCAGTCATAGCTATGGAAACTTCTATTTACTCAAATACAGAGATGTTTAAACTATTTAGCTAGTGTCTGTGAAGTATCCGTGGATAACTTAAAATTCTCAGTATGAAGAAATGAAGTTTTTTCAAGGCTCAATTCTGCCATGAACTTTCTTCTCCCCAAAATACAGAATACTCAGTCTGTAGAAAGACACAAAATTGCTTGTTTTATAGTATGTTACTATACCACAAACGAAGAAAAAACCTTCAGAACTACACCTCTTTCCTCTCAAGATGAAAATATTTCATCTTGACTCAGACACTGACCTGAAGTAATAAAGTTCGAAGTTAAAATTTGCAATGATCAATCACATGAACATTTGAACTAGCTTAGACTTAATTTTGTACACATACTTTAAAGAAAAAAATTGAGCTCTTTTTTAGCTGAAAATTTAGCCCAGAGAAGAAACTACATTCAAGAACTAAATTAAGAAATGGAAAAGCAAAGGCAGTTTCATAACTAAATTAGTGTGGCTAGCATCATAGACTCAAACAACTTCATCAAGAAAGATTAGGAATATTAAAGGATAACGATGCATAACAAGTATAAAGATACTAGGCTATTTACATATGTATGAGTGTATATATACACAATTTTTTTCCCCCAAACTTTGACAACAAACTCTGAATCATAAAAACTCTGAATAGTGTTATAACAGAAGAAAATTACCACACAGCTGCATATATAATCCTGTGGTTTAGCTATCCTTATTCATTGTGTGGCAAAAGACTTGCTTAAGTGTAGAATGACGTTTCCAACAGTTCAAAGCACAGCTTGCAAAGATGCAAGAACTGAACAGTTTCCTCAAGTGTGTCTAAACAGATATTATGATGAGATAGTCAAGAACAGATAGCTGTCACTAGCAAAAGAAAGTCTAACTCTAATCATTGTGCTTAAAAACGTAACTGAACAGTTTATATTCCAAAGAATGATCTCGACGTGCAACTGATTATTCCATTATGTAGTAACACAAATGCAGTACTGTGTGGTCCACCAAATTCTGTAGTTCACTGGAGTCGCAGCAAATTAATAGCTGCTTAGTTCTTTATAGCTGTCACTGAGTCAAGTTATTTTTAAAAAGCTGCTTTGAAAGTTCCTTCCATGTTTTAAAAAGAACTTCTAAGTTTTCTGATAAGACTCTTACTTACTTTCACCTTCTTGCATCATCTTCAGAAGCTGTGCATTTCTTGCTTTTACTTCTTTATACTTTGCCTGTATTAAAAAGATTGAATTACTACATGTATACCCTACTAAAAAAAGTATTCTATAAAATAAGCATGACAGAGTCAGAGTTTAAAATCATGACTTCTCTGCAGAGAATCTAATCATAGAATCACAGAATCATTTAGGTTGGAAAAGACCTTTAAGATCATCTATATTTTAATTAAACCATAGCCAAAGTAAGGAATACACGACAGGAGAAGTGGATTAATAACTGAGAGTCAAGAAAAAAAGGCAAGCACAAAGCTTAGAGCAAGTTAAAATAAGAAAGTTATGTCAGTGCATTTATAATGCAGGAACCACCATTCAGGTCTGCCTGAAGTATATAGGTCTGTTGCATCAAGAGCTTTATGGTTTCTCCCCTGAAAAATTACAACAATTGTAATGCACTTTCTAGATACTAATATAAACAGTTTGCCATATTTCCTGGCAAGTAGGACAAGACCCTACCACTCTACAGATTATTTTATTCAGTAGTTACTACGTTATTTCTTTTCTTTTCAACTCTTTACAGTTTACTACTCAAGAACCTATTTTTGCTGTTTTTTTCCAATCTATCTGATATCACCACACTTGCTTCTTAAGTCAGTATTTTCTTTAACTGGCCACCAATGTCAGTTCTAGCTCTGTATCTTGGCTGTAAACTCGTTTTTCCTGTCACAAGTCTCTTCATACAGTTTGCTCTTGTAGGTTCTTACAAAAAGTTTAATTTCAGACATACTTGTTTGTAATAAAGAAGCTACTCAAGATAGTATCACACCAGTCCCTGAGGATAATTAACTTACGTTTCAGCCAGACCTTTCATGGCCACCTAAAACTTCGTAAGGTCTTTGGACAAGTTCATAAAATTAAACAGCTGTATCATCGTCCATCACCTCACCAGTATCCTTATGCATAGTGTTTATTCTGTCAAATGTGATCAAGTACTGACAGTGGTAAATATGAATGGTTTTATACTTTAAAATGTCACCTGAGGATTCCAACTTGAGTACACAGTGAAAACAGCTGTTAACAGCTTTATTACTACAAGTAAGAGTACTTCTTTGAAGCATCAGAAAACTACTAATCTGTCAACCTGCTCAGTCTACCTTAAGCAATGAATAAAAATAGTAATAAAATAATTTTATGCTGCTTTACTGTATTTTGCTACAATGGCAGTTCCTCATAGAAATTTTGCCCTTTTTGCTCTAGATACTAACCAGACAATGCTAACGTGGACTGAAAACAGGAAGACAGAGACCTTTTCCCTAGCTACTACAGTATATAGCAATACCATGTAATTACTAACAAGCACATCTTTTTTTCCTGGTATGTTTTAGCATATGGAGAATCTGATTTCCAATTTCACTTGTATTTAGTAAGAAAAGATACAACAAAATACAGGACTTCAATTCTTGTTACACTGCAGCTTTAAAGGAACTTCTTTTAAACCTGACAAAATATTCATTGATTTCTTTAACCACTTCAAATATTGGACTGAATCTACAAAAAGTCCCAACAATATGTAGTTCTTAAATGCAAGAAAAGCTGAGTAGAATTTTAAAAAAGAAATAGTTGGAAAAGACCCAAGGAAGTCCAACTTCCTGCTCAAAGCAGAGCTAACTTCCAAGGCAGATCAGATCGTTCAAGATCCTGCCTAGTCTTAGATTACATCTTTTTTTTTTTTTGACCATGAAAACAGCAATACTAGAAAACAAGTAGTGACTGATAAGCCAGATATGAAGTTTAGTTCTGGATGCTTTGTCTTGATTCTTTTTATTATTTTTAGATGCTTAACTTACCAAGAAAGACCGCTTCATGTGGTACTGAAGGAATAATTTGCTCTGTAAATATGTAATCTGTAGCCAGTCTAAAGCATCTCTACAGATTGGTCACATTTTAATAAATACATTGCTTCAAACGCATAACAATTAAATTTTGTCTACTATTTGAAGGTATTATCAGCTACATACCTCCCACTGAGTTATTATATTTTTCAGTTGCTCAATTTCTGCATCTTTCTTTTCAAGCTCGAGCTTTAGTCGTTCTGTTTTTCCATCTTTCAAAACAGTCTCCTATGAGCAAGAAAACATCACTTCTTAATAATTAGTCACGTGAATTCGATTATTGGGAAAGGCAACTTACTTGTTTTTTAGAGAAGACAATTTTTGATCAGAATTAAAGAGGTGTATGTGCATAGATACCAAAAGGATAAGAAACACAGTAGTAAATATTGGCGTTTTCTGTGGAGCAAAAACTATTTCAATCACAAGTGCTTCATGTTAAAAAAACTAAGTCATTTAAATACCTCTTCAGATAGGTAAAAATATTACAGTGTTGTGGGGTTTTTAATTCTTTAAGATTATCATGCTTTTGATTTGTGCTTTCTTCTACTCAGGTGCTCCCTTCGGACTATTGGATAAGCTTCATTAGGCAAACTTCTTCACTTCAGAATGACTGCTGTTTTACATGCCTGGTTGTGTTCATGAGATGTGCAGTTATCTGTTCCACTGTAATCAGTGAGCTGGACTCTCCTTTTCTCTCTTTCAATTATTCTATGAACATCATCTTCCAGCCTGTTGAAAAACCCTCCATCATGCAACGAAGACTGGGAAGAGTCCAGTCCCTGTCAAAAATAAGTACTATAACATATCTTCCTTGACATATAAGTTAATATTGAGCTAGAAATCAACATGTTTAAAAAATAGCTTAAGTCATGGAAAAGCATTACATCTAGAGAGTGTTTTATGTTGTACATCCTGAGAATACTATGACTTCCACCTAGAGAATATGATACCAATTGAAGAGCATAGAAATTAACAGTTAACATTTAGCTGATGATGAGATTACACAAAAGCAGGAAGTGGGAATTTAATGATTTTGCACTATGACTACACTAATTTGTGTTTTATTTCACTGTTAACTAGTCTTCCCTCTAAGAGTTTTAATACTTGTGGACTGCAGCACAACATAGTAGCATCACAGTACCTTCTTACTTAATTTGCTTGTCTTTTTTGTACTACAATTGGTATTTTTTAACATGCTTTTAGATCTGCAAGTTGCATCAAAGACTATCTGAAAACTAAAGAAGCAAGAGGTAGTTATAAGAAAGCCAATGCTAAGTTCTCAAGATACAAGAACTGTAGACATACGTTATTAAATCTGCATCTGTAAAAATTTTCCAAATGGCAATCCGTCAGTTTCACAATGTATTCTTGATTGTTACTACAGCAAGTGCCAAAATAATTACCTTCTAAACATAACTTGTTTTTTTTTTTTATTAAACTAGTCTGAATAAGACTTACCTCATGTTTTTTAGCAAGGTTATCTGAAAAGAATAGAAAAAAAAGACGACATCATTAAGTTATGCAAATCTTGTTCAGCTGGCTATTGAAACAAAACATTTTGAAAAACAGGGGAAAAACCCCGTCTGTTGGAGTTCTTCAACATTAGCTCTCCTCTCAAAGTCACAACAAAAGAAGTCATTACTGAAGTATTAGAAGCCAAGATTATAAACTATGTATTACATCAATCCCTGTATTTGCATCTTCTTCTCCCAGATCTTTCAGACTATTTAATCAAAAGCAGCATCCCATATTAGTTTGCTTCAGTTAAAGTGGAAGGCAATGCGTTTGGTACAGACACTTACGGAATTTGTTGGTTTGTTTCTTTTTAAGTCTATTTAGGCTTTTATAGCACGTATCTCACTGTATACCTGAATGCCTTCCATGCCTTCCAGACTGCTGTGCTTTCAATCGTTTTCCTCTATTCACATTATTTGGAAATAATGTGTTTATTTATACACATTATTATAATGTGTATAAATATTGTAGCTTTAGATAAAAACATCCTTAGAAGAAAAACCTTAGAAAACAAATTACTTTCTTCCTTTTCTAGCATCTACCTTGATTTCTTCATTAAAATTCAGAATCTCTCCTCTGTAGACACAGATGAAGGAATTTTGAACATATAAATAATGCATATGATGAGTGTATATATAAGTTATTTGAATATTTACTCATCTTCATAAAAGCCAGTATCATGAAGAAAGGCAAACAATGACTTGCTCTTACCCAGGAAACAGAGAAACTCAGTTGCCTGAGGAGTGCAAACTTAGTAAAACAAAAAACCCACTTAGATTAAAAAAAAAAGTCACATTAAGAGTGTTTGAGTCCACCACCCACCCCAGGGATACTACATGAAATTATGTTTTCCTTAACCTCTTCTTTTTTCCCTGCTCATCTAACTAACCCATTATTATATAATGAACATTTAGCTTCTAGAGTCGGTAGGACAAACTAAATGCAACTCCTTTAGTGTTTGTTTAAACGCAGTATAAATTAACAGACAGAAGGGCATTTTGCTGCTAGCACACACACACTATGAAAATTCCAAGTAGAACAGCTCATATGGTATGATAAAGCATACCTATATTACTGTCTGACTGAAAGTCTTTCAGAGACACAGTGAGAGGTTTGTCTTTTCCTTGCTGGTTCTTTTTCTCTTTCTTATTCACAGACTTTGACTGAGGTGAAGTATTTTCAACGTTTTCATATTCCTAGAAGAATAAAGTCCCACTGGTATAATTTTCTTCAATACCCAAATATTTTTTCCCTGAAGCTTTATAAAGGAAAAAAAATAGTGATAATGTACTAAAGGAGATTTTAGCCTGAACAGTAATTTGCAGGCTTCAGATTGCTTTAAAGAGTGCAAGACATATCAGCAATCAAGCATCGATTCTGTTCTCTGAAGTAGAGCATTGCTCTTCACTGAACAGCGAATGAACTATCGGCCTAATACGTCCTCAATCACCTACATCAAATTTTATCCAGAAACTCATAAACTGAGAATATACAGTAGTCAAACACAGGAAGGCGAAGTGCTACACAATGCAGGTTAGCACTTTCTTTAAAAAACAGAGGTCTACTGTACCTTCTTTTTATTCTCAAAATATGCTTACTCATTCAGTAGAAGTCAGAGAGCTATTAGTGTGCAGCAATGCTCTACTAATTGACCTTATTCCTATTGAAATTGGACAGCCTGGTACATGATAGCCATTTGAACCAGAATCCCACCTCCCCACACATCTACATTAACATTCTTAGCAAATTATCAATGTCCCAGTTGTTAAAAATGAACTTAAATACTAATTAATTATTTTAATTAAGATTAAAAATAATCTTAAATGTTAAATAATCTTAAGAAAAAAATTGTTATATAGAAAGCAAAGATGGAAATGGATGCTTTTCTTTCCATAGAAAAAAGATTTGTTCAGTGTACCCGTGTACTGTGTATTTTGAATATATAGTAAATATTTTAAAATATTCAGAGGTAATTCTCAAAAAGTCTACAAATGATGCTATGCTACTATGCCTGATGATTGTCTTCACTTTAAAAAAGAACTTTTAGTATGTAAGCTGAAAATTTATCCTTAGTTTTCAAGAACTATGGTACTCGCCCTCCTCAAAGTATTGTACAGAGATATCTGCACAAAAGTGCATGTGCAATTTTTAATTTTTATGATGCATAATTATATTTAAATTTACATATTTTCATAACATTTCATTGGCTTCTGATTTATTGGAAGTAAGAAGCAACTTCCTGTTAGAAATAAAAATTTCATCTAAGCATACTTTTTTCAGAACAATTCTTCAGTTTTCCATAAGAACCACTCAGAAAACAGCATCCTGACTAGCTAAGAAAATGTGTACAGCTTATTAGAACTAAAATATTTACACTCAAGACAGAGAAAATATGTTAGCAAAAATGCAAATGATTCAACCACAACTAACACTTTCAGGCCTAAAGAGAAGTCAGTGCCTTGATTCTCTTACTCTTCAGGTGTGCTGGATTTTTTCTGAGGAAGGTCAGGGTCTCTTGTTGCACTCTTAAAAATCTCAGCACATTTATATGCCAGAAAATTGAAAAAGTAGAACTAATTTTCCACCTTTACAGGGCAATTTAAAAAAAAACATAACCCAATACTATTATATATGGTTTCTTTAAAATCCAGTATTTCTCTGAACTCTTAAGCATCTGAACAGTGTAAGCAAACAGTTTACAGGAAGAAAATGGTACTTTTAGGAGGTTTTTTTGCTTTATTTTTAAAATTCAAGCCTCAAACTTGTACAGCTTTTACATTAGGATGAATCCTGCAAATACCTTTTTGTGCTCTTCGTATTCCAGTTTGCTTAGCAGCAATGCTTTTTCAAGATCAGCTTCAAACATTTCAGATGTCAGCTGAAGAAACAAAGTTAACATATTTCATGTGACTAGGCTGTTAAAGAAAAAAGCAGACAAAACCACTAAAACCACACTAAAATTTCAGTTTCAATACACATATGCTACAATTGCCAAAAAGCTAAGTTTCACTGATGTGACATATGACATTTATTAACAGCTAATATACCTTTTTGTACCATAAGTAATAAAATATCTTGCTTCAGGAAACTTTGTGATGGATGTAAGTACACAGTGTTGTGCACATCTTTCTGTAATACAGTTACCATCTTGATGATTTGTTTACATGAGGTTTCTTTAAAATAATTTTTATTTTTAGTCTGAAACATGAAAACCAGAGGATGTTAAGGATGAAAATGGTCGTTGTAGACCACCAGAAAGTCTAGGTGCTCATCCATTGCATAGAAAAGATTAGGTTAAGTGCATTTTTTTTTTTCTTAAAAGGAGAGCAGAGCTAAGAAGACCTGAATTATTTCAAGATGTTTTCTCTTTCATTTCTGAGAAAAGTAAGTACGTAAGTCTTCTTGGGAGATGGAAAGGAAATTTGAAGCTTCTAGGTGTGAGCCATTAAGAAAAAGAACTAGGAAAAATACAACAGGAATGAAGGATGTGCTATCTCTTTTTTCTTGTGTTGTAGGAAAGTGCAGAGAAGGCCAGCTCCTGTTGCACAGAAGGCTGAAGGACTGAATTGAGAAGACCAGTACTAGCAACAGTTCAATGGAGCCAAAATAAGAAATTTACCTAGAGGATACAGATGCTATAGTCGAGGTAGATAGTGGATAATCTAGATGTATAAACAGCTGATAACCTATGTTACTATTTACAGCAAAGTTAACAAAGATTAAGTTGTTCAGAATGCAAAACTCTGTTCCTTTGAGGTCTACTGTCTTAAGGATCACTACAATCCCCTGTGTGATGTGCTGCCAAATGGAAACCTTATTCTTCATCATAGCTCTCTCCTTTTCATGCCTTAACTGAAATATTAACTAGTAAAAGTAATTACTTCAACCATCATTTTCTTTGAATTTCAAATTGAGGTCTTTTTCATTCATTCCAGAATAAACTACAATAGCTGTTAAAGTGAATAAATTTACGTAAGTGGTCTTAATGCACTTTGCCCACACTGGGCTGCATGACGTACACTAGCTTTTTTGTCTGTAGGAACCATGTTCTGAAAAAACCTTACAAGTTCTCATATGCTTTACATACGCTTAAAATTATTATATGATGTAAAATCAGACACATTCTTCCTAATTGTTTATTCAACAATTCATACGATCAGTCTCGCATATGAGAAAACCAAAAAGTGGCTTCTGGTTTTTACCACAGTTAACCAGCCTTTTTTTGAGGTGTTATTTGAAACATAGTAAAACAATGTTCTCAGCATAAATTGCTACAAGATTTCATATAGACTCTGGCGTGCTGTCATTCCTAGTTTTGCGTTTGGTTTGTGGTTCAAGCTTAGCATTGACTGATTGCACTGTGCCTCACTGGCAAGGTTTTTGTAGCAGGGAAGGTGGGGAAGAGCCACAGACTCACTGTGGCAGTCAGGCCGGAGGCACCTCAGAACCCTGAAGGGCTGCATATACAGGTGGGATTGGGGCAGCCGCTGAGCAGCGGCGGGCAGGGACAACCTTCACCGGAGCACTACTGGTGGAGAGACCCCCGCAAACGGACCCCCGTCTTCGGCACCGCCTGTGGCCTGCAATGAGGGAACCAAAGAGGGGGAAAGAGGAGTTTTGCAGCAGCAAGGGGTGGTTTTTTCCTGAAGTGTTTGTTTTCTTTCAGTATGAGAATCAGTAATTGGAGGTTTGGTAACTGACAAAATTGACTGAAATTCCCCAAAAATCAATGAACTGTTTTTGCCTACTACTGTTGAATCTAATCTGACAATGATAGTTATCTACCAAAAATCAGGCCTTGTAGTCTGCTACAGGGAAAAACTCAACATGAACGTGATGAAAAAGGAGGGAATGGGGATTTAAAAAAAACAGACTACCAAAAAGAGAACAATTAACACACAAAAATAAGGTAAACTCACAAGAAAGATGAACTTAGGATTTTTACCTTTGTGTGTCTGAAAGTGCTAATTTAGCACACAAGCCCCTAAATAATTATCAAGAATTAGTACTACCACAGTGTTGTTATAACTATTAAACAGCTGCACAAAAATTGCATTATGTGATCTCTAGTACAACAATAACCCTATCATAATTTACTTACCTAGCAGTCATTCAATTCAGGGCAAGACTGAGTGTTCAAAGCTGGCTATGTAAAGGTCGCTGCTTCTAAGCAGCAGCTGGGTTGAGAGCTTTAGACCTGAATATTCTCAAAGCCAGTCATCTCCTCCATAGTTTCCCAAGCACCTTCAGTCCTGCTTCTGTGCATAGTCTGACTGTCTCAGAATAGATAGTTATAGGCTTGCTACCACTTAAACCTATCCAAAAATCTAGAAACCACGGGTTCCTTTGCTTAGGTATTAGGAGTGCACATCCAATAGGCAAGCTCTGGAGTACACTAATAATCATAAGAAATTGAGATACATGCACAAAGCTCTTACAGTGACTTTCGTAAAAGCTTTGCTGAAGAAAGACCATGGTATTTACATAATAGCTCCATAGTTAACACAAATGCTGACAATCCTTTAAAAGGAAAGTGCCAGGCACTCTGGTAATTTGGAGGCTAAATATGAAAAGAGGAACTCTTCATGAACTGGGAGACACTCTTTGTGGAGCTGACCTCTGTGGAAGCAGGGAGACAGTGTTTCTCACCCACTGCTAAACACCTTCCATTGCACTGTACCATTTAAAATTTACCTCTTCATTATCAATATTGTATTACTGGACAAGGAAAACTACGGAACTGAGAGGCTAAGATTTCATGCCTTCTGAATCTGAAGAATTCAAACTCATGTCTCTCCTCTCAGATAAGCATGTGCCAGTTGCAGTTTGAACCTTTCTGCCAATCAGTTTCTCCAACTCAGAGAAGAGATGCTTTTATTAAATCTTATGATACAGTCAGCATGACTTTATGAAAAAAGAGGGACAGCAGAAGAGTTCAAAGCACCAATCGACATTCGATGCAACCTTGACAAAACAAAGTATTCTGTCAAACAAACCTTTCAAAAAAATTGGCATACATGTGGAATGATGCCATTTTGTTTGGGAATAATTCATTCTCAAGGCTGCTGAACAAAGCTGGTCCCATGTGTTTCCCGTAACAAAAAAAAAACCCAGACTTTTCATAAGCTTCCAACGCTTCTCATCTCAAAAGAATACCTTACCTCTTCTTCCTCCTACAGGGACGTCCTGTTAGTTTTAACAACCATCTCTTGCTAATTTTAAGAGTGGTGCTGTTGTGGGCTTCAAGATAGTTTAATGCATTCTTTCTAACACATACACCAACATAAGCATGGCTTCTCTCTCTTTTCCTTTACCTTTTTTCTCCGTATCTGCCTTTAATATAACAACTTGTTCTCAAAAACTATACATAGACCCTATCAATTTTATATTCCTAAGTGGTGGTAATGATATAATAAGCCAGTACCTGAGCAACAGCCGATAAGGGCTTTAACACCCTCCACGTGAGGCTTCATTCTCTGTCAGAATTCAAGACTCAGTGGGCTGAGAGGAGCAGGACCTCACTGCTAAATGGCCAAGACATTTGACTTGAGTAGGGTAATCCCTGCATACACATGTGTACCATGCAACATCCCCCAGTAAAAGTAAGGCAGCTTCAGTGGGATGGAACAGTGCGAATGTAAATCACCCTGTAGTCATGCTTTTGGCACAGGACCTTCCTTTTTTGGTGATAGGAAAGAAAAGAGAAGAGCTTGGACCATGAACATCCCAAATTTTATTTCAAGTCATTTACCAATTAAACTACACAGAAGCTACACAAGTGCCTGCCCCACCTCCTCTTGGGTTGTTTAGAAAATACATCCGAATGGGCCATGTTTTGAACAAGTGTGAGGGAAAAAAAAACCTACCTGCAACCTTCGGTAACGTATCAGTTCTGAGTCCCTGTGCTCAGATTGACTAGACAGATTATTGCTCGGCAGATTTGCCTTTTCAGACCTACTCCAAAGCATATGCTTTTCTTCACTCATTACAACGCTCAAAGCATCAAGTCTCTAATACTTGTACCCTGTGTCTGTAATCAAATTTACCTTAAGATCACAATTCTTTAAATCAGAGTTATCTATCGGTTCTTCAAATTTTAGTCTTACAGAACATAACAAACAATAATTTTAACAGAAGTGATACACAAACACTGCAAGCCATTACTTCAAAAAAGTAACATTGAATGCATACCCTGAAGTGGAACTGTTATGACAATTTGGGCAACAAGATTACAGACATAGAACAAGTTATTACTGAAACTGTTGGTGATAACATTAAATAGAAAAAATAAAGCATAGCTGTGGCTCATGGTTCTTCGTGTGACACTGGCCTTTACTTCCTAATACTTATTTCAGGGTCACAGGTCCTTTACTGCCTTGTTAGTAGGCTACTGTGGAAATCAGTGAGGAGTCACAGGCCTTTAGTAATTCTCCTTAAAAGCCTAAAAATCCATATGCTATAATTAAAGTAAATTCCTCACCATTTTAACTCATGTCCTTTTTTCCCCCTCATATAAAAAAAACAAGCTAATTCAGTGCCTGCGAGTGCTGTAATACATGAGCAGCATCTACAAACAGTGAAATAACAGTTTAAAAAGGAACTTTACTGATTATGTGTATTTTATTAAGAATATCCTAACGAGACATGCACTCCGTGTTATATACTTTGAACTATGGCAAACATTTTGATTATTGTTCTAAGACAGGAATCACAAGTAGCCATTTCTTTTTCCACCCCTCAGACTCCAATACTCACTTTTTAAGAGTTTCTGGGTAAAGTTAGAAGTAAGTTTAAAGCAGTTTGGGCAACTTTTTGGCACTTTGAGAGCTAAACCTCGATGCTTTAAACCATTTATGAACCAAAAAAGTTCCCTGTAAC